ACGAGCAGTAGAACTACTGAGGGTACCAGGTAATAAGTACAGTATTACTATTACTTTTAAAGGAGTAAAAAGTTGCTATTATTATAAGTATTGTCCCAATCACGTGTCGTCGTGGTCTTTAGACTGGTGGGCACCCAGCAGTGGACCATCATGGACACTCACAGCAACAAGACCAGCTACAAGCTGATGGTGCTGAAGCCGGACACCACCTACCACGTCAAGGTGCTCACTCAGTGTCTCAGCAAGCTGCACAAGACCAACGAGGTGATCACAGTGAGGACGCCGGAGGGACGTGAGTACCACACCCTCCATCGTATTATATGTCTCTGTTCGTTTTAGTCATTTAAAAATCTGGTTTGTTTTACGCTAAATCTGCTTTATTTTCTGGTACTTACCATGTTTACTGTGTGTGTGTGTGTGTCTACGTGTGTGTTTGTGCGTGTGTGTGTGTGTGTGTGTCCTGCAGTGCCGGACCCCCCCAGGAACCTGCAGCTGTCCTGTGATAACGGTGAGGACGGGACGGTGGAGGCTTCCTGGAGCCCTCCAGACAAAGGACATGGCCTCATCAGAGAGTACATCGTGAGTCCTCTTCGTCTGATTCAAACTGATTCACGACTTCGTCTTCAGTCGTATCGTCAACAAAACAAACTTCAGTGAGGAGACCGACCTGTTCAGCACCTACGAGGTTCATATGAGGGTCAGAAAACTCTCTGATCGGATCAGTACAAACAAACAAGGGAGCAAATATAAGTTCTAGAGAACCATGATCCGTTTCTTTTTGCCACCAACACTAATTGTCGATCATTGATGATCCGTATTAACAGATACAGATCCCTTTGTTGTTTGATTACAGCAGCTGGTCTACAAGGATCCAGACTTTTTATTTTAGCCACTGTTTACTGAAGTCAGTGAACCATCAAAAATACTAAATGTTCTACTTTTACTTTGTTATAGTCATTCATAGTGTTTTTGTCTTCATAAAAACACACAATTCAAATAATAAGGAAATAAAATGTGTGTGTGCGCGTGTGTGTGTGTGTGTGTGTGTGTGTGTGTCAGGTTGAGTACAGTGAGCGGTCAGGTCTGGACTGGATGTCTCAGAGATGCACCACAACCAGCAGCGCGGTGAAGGAGCTGCAGCCGGACGCTCTGTACAGGTTCAGGGTGAGAAACGGTCTCTATGACCACACACAGAACACGGAGGGTTAATGTGATGTTGTTGTGTTTTAACGTTGCTTTGCTGTGATGTCTCGTAGGTGGCGGCAGTGACCAGTCGAGGTGTGGGCAACTGGTCCGAGGTTAAATCCATCACCCCGAAGAAAGGTACAGAGAGAGAGAGAGAGAGTCACACAGCTTCTCAGCACTGACCCCTGCTGGTGTAAACGGGCGTTTCAGGTGTTGTAGCTGTGCTGTTTGTAGCTGATGTGAAGGCTGCAGACGTGTCCACCTCCTGTCTCTGTCTCTGCTGTCCCTGGTGGACTTCATCCCCATCCTGATCTCCTCACTCAGACTCTGAGGAGTGTTTCTTTAAAGTCCACGAGGGTTTAGTTCTGTCTCCCTTACAAATCCTCCAGTGGTTGAATCTCTCCCTCAGACATTTTGAGCCCTTTATGAACTCTTTCCATAAAAGTCCGCATTTCTGCAGACTTTTTCACAAAGGAATTACCCACAATTCATAGCGATGTCACAATAGACACGTGAAAGCCAGAGACTTAATAAGGACGGCACACGGGTGTTCAGTCTGGAATATTACATTTACTCAGAAACATTAAGGATTAAGAACATTAAAGCACATTATTTATTCATCAAATATTTAATTTTGTTATTGAAGTCGTTTTGAC